CCAACAGAGAATGCCTCTATAAAGTAAAGGCCAGTCCAGGTAAAACCCCTGAAAAAACAGAATCTATGTTGGACTGGCCACTTTATACCCCCTCCCCCAACAGAGACAGAGTATGCCTCTATAAAGTGGCCAGTCCAGGTAAAACCCCTGAAAAAACAGAATCTATGTTGGACTGGCCACTTTATACCCCTCCCCCAACAGAGAATGCCTCTATAAAGTGGCCAGTCCAGGTAAAACCCCTGAAAAAACAGAATCTATGTTGGACTGGCCACTTTATACCCCCTCCCCCAACAGAGAATGCCTCTATAAAGTGGCCAGTCCAGGTAAAACCACTGAAAAAAACAAAATCTATGTTGGACTGGCCACTTTATACCCCCTCCCCCAACAGAGAAACCACTGAAAAAACAGAATCTATGTTGGACTGGCCACTTTATACCCCCTCTCCCCCAACAGAGACAGAGAATGCCTCTATAAAGTGGCCAGTCCAGGTAAAACCCCTGAAAAAAACAGAATCTATGTTGGACTGGCCACTTTATACCCCTCCCCCAACAGAGAATGCCTCTATAAAGTGGCCAGTCCAGGTAAAACCCCTGAAAAAACACATTTTTACCTGGAATGGCCACTTTATACCCCAGCCAGTGGGCTCCAGGACTTCGACCCGGAAACGGAAGGACTGACAACAAGGTAAAGGGGGAAAACTACAACGGAGAGGTACAACGGGAAGGCTACCACAAGAAAATGAGACATGTCACGTTTATATACGTTTATTGTTTTCAATGTGTCATATAGATTGGCGATGATTGGTATATTGAATATGTTGTAGATGTATTTTGGAACATATGTATACCTATGATTCACACATCAATATAAATATATATAAATCATAAACACATGCCAAACCAAAAACTTTTAGCTGAGTATTGTATTCCCAATCTGTTGGCAAATGTCCAGCCGATTCACCATGCGTGACCCAACAAGATTCAAACTATGGATTGTTTACTTTCGAAAACAAATTTTACTGGGTGAATCTACGTATATCTATGACGACAATCTCCCAAAATCATCCTAAAAATCTATGGACATGTATGGACCAAAACCACAGCCACATGCCCATCCTCTATAAAATGGTTTGCAAGAAAGTTCAGCTCTATAAAGTGGCTTGATCACGTCATTTCTGGCAGCCCCACCCTCTGTGTAAACTGGACCGGTCCATGTCCATCCTTTATAAAATGGTTTGCAAGAAAGTTCAGCTCTATAAAGTGGATTGATCACGTCATTTCTGGCAGCACCACCCTCTGTATAAACTGGACCGGTCCATGCCCATCCTCTATAAAATGGTTCGCAAGAAAGTTCAGCTCTATAAAGTGACTTGGATGATGTATCTCATGACTCTATAAAATGCTCTGCCGCAATTTTCTTTCTATAAAGTGCCCTGGATGCAGCACAAATTCTTCTTCTTAAAGGGCAAGTTTCACTCTATAAAGTGCTTTGCCATGTATACAGCCCCAACAGAAAAATATTGGCCCGAAATCATTGGGGAGACATGTTTCTATAAAGTGGATGGTGTGACATATGATGGCCATTCTTTGAAGGGAACCAACGGTCTATAAAATGCATTGCCGCATATATTGAGTCGTTTCCTTGTGGGAAACCAGCCGGGTATAAACTGGAAAGCCAACGTTGTAATAAAGTCATCTTCCAGGTCCAAGGGCATGTTTCTCGCGCAAAACACGGCTTTATCCCCCATTGTCGGTGTATAAAGTGGCGACCGGAAACCCACTTTATAAGCGCAAAGGATGTCCACTTTATAGTGAGCTATACATGGGGGATGCTTTTTGAATCTTGTTGACGATGCCAACTCAATCAATGCACACAAGTTGCACAGATCCTCCCCAAGCATCCGCCCTTTGTCGATTGTCCACAAAAAACACAGATATTCACAGTTTTCCCTCGGTTTCACTCCTCTGCGCGCCCTGCGCACCCATTGCCATCGGAAACATTGGCATCGCCATAGGCATCGAAGACATTGGCCATGCCATTGACCATGCCTGACCTCCAGCATGCACATGCAACATGACCATGCAACCCTTGAGCACCAAACATGCAAAAAATCAGCAAATTAAATTGTACTTCGTGTCTTGATGATCTTGACGTCTTGACGCGTCTCTTACATCATTTCGATTCATTTCGCATTTCCAATTTTCAAATCCTTGACTCGAAGCGCAGACCTTCGAACGCGTGAAAACCGGTGGAACCAGAGGCTATGGCATCGGCCTCAGACACAAACCTTCTCAACGTGTCCCACAGCATCCCAACACAAAAACCATCAAAAACCCTGGAAAAGCGCGGAATTTCAAAAAACTTCCTGGCCACTTCCAAGTAGAGTGTCAGAACATGTCAGAACTCTGTACATGTTTTAAATCTTTCTCTGCAAGGCAAACGCACTTAGGAATCTCACCCAACATTGATCAAACACATCCATCTTTTTAACTTTTTATATTGTTCTTTGGATGTGCACGTAGTCATGATGTGACACGTGTACTTTACTTACGGCGATGAATTGCCACAAGCCGTCAGGTTTTGCTGGGGGCTTGGACCCCAATCAATTGTCAATAAACTTAAACGAAATGGTAAGGACTGCAGCCAAAACCCAGCATGTATTGCATGCTTTAATATGTCTGGATGTGCATCTCCGTAATGCGTTAGATACAATTTATTAACGCATATATTCTTACTGATTCATGCATGTCCTTGTTTGCAATGCAGGTAATACAAGAGCATGTTCTTTAACATCGTTTAAGTAGTTACCCTGAAAGTGACAGGCAGAGTCAAACGGACAAGGGTGTGGTGCTGAGGTGACCACATTTGGGGGCATTGCATGCCTGGCAGTGATCTGTCGCTGTCGGTCGATTCGTTTGCTCAAGCTAGCTGTAGCGGTGGCATTGGTAAAAAGCTGAAAAGAGTTTCAGTATGTTTCAGTACATGTCAATGTTGTTAGAGGCATCTCAGTGTCTGTCTGTGGAGTCTCGGCACTGAACGGCATTGTGTGTTCCATCCCAGGGCCTGCCAGGCCAATTTGGCTGAGAGACCCAGGCCCTACCACAACCATAAAATCATGCTGCATCACGTTGGCACGCGTTGCAATACCTTGTTCTGTTGGAGCTCAAACATGCTCACAGAACATCAGGGAACATGCCATTGCGACACGAGGAACATGCTCAAAAGATACTGTGACTTCAAGCCTTTAAACCCGAGTCACATGGTAGTGCCATCTCGAAAGATATGTTGAAGCATTCTCTTCATCACTTGAAAAAATAGCACTTGCCGATGATGCTGATGCAACTCTGCACTTCGAGAGGTTTGAACATACTCCTGGGGCCAACCTGTACCCTTGCAACATGAAGACCGTGCCCATACCAGGCCTGATGTCACCGGTCTGTCATCCTGCCAGACTTCAGGCCTCGTAACGTGGCGGCATGTGCCATTTATAGATATGTTGACTGGGTCGGAGTTGGGCGCAGAACGAAATCCCTGTGAGCCTGAAGAACTCTGCCTGTCAAGTGATGTCCCTGACTTGCCCCGCTTGTCGCTACAGTTTCGTATGCGCTGTCCATCTCACATCTTGTCCACATGTTGTGGTCGTTGAAGGTGTCGCATCGCGCCTCCTGGGGCCTCGCGGCTTGACCTGCACCAAGGCCTGACACACGACATGCAGATTCATCAGCTTCACAAATTTCTGCCAAGTGAGAAAACTTTGGCATTAATAAGAAGAATAAAATGTGGAAGTCGTTGAAATGCAAGGAAGTCATTGGCAAGTCATGGCATTGCTCACAGTTTGGTAACTTGCCATGCCCCACTGTGAGTTCACATCAGGGTCGTCAGAATTGTGTCCACTTGGAACAGCTGGGACCAGGCACATCCACTCGGCAAGCCACCTTCGAATGTCCTCTTCATCAGCACATGCTCACTTGTGACTCTGCCTGGCTGCTATTCTGCTACCGTAATATACCGTAATCATTTCTTCACCTGAGCCTTGGCTTCTGAGTTAGCACCTCTGTCTGTGCAAATGTCTTTGCAACATATTGGGCAACGTGTTGCGTGTTCACCTTGAGCAACAAGTCGCGGTATGAAACTGAAAAACATTTAGACACGACACGGATGATTTTGCAAATCGGCATTCTGTGCCAAACGCAGCTTATGCTAAAGCTTGTCAAACCATGCGATTCTTGGCACTTCGGTTGGAACCCGCTTGCCATCTTACCCTATAGCCATGTACCTTCTTTCACAGTAGCTGCTCATGACACACGTATCAAATTTTGATCTGTTGCATCTCGCGATTCTTCTGAAACGCGAAGCAAAAGGCAGCTCCGCTCGATGGTGAGCATGATGCCATTTCGCACCAATGCCGAATTGCCTCCCAGGAGTCTCCAGCCGCAAAAGTTGACACTTTATTCATCACTTTATTCATTTTGGAAATGCATACTAGGTCCTCCAGCCGACATATTTTTCAAATTTGGTCATGTTGTCATGGCTGTTCATCTGAAATTCATCTGCCATGTCTATAGATGTGCTCCAGTGTCGTTAATGCCCACAGCTCAGGACACCAAGAGATGCCATCTGGCCCAAAGCCCGGCACCCGAGTCTCGCACTTTGTCGAGTGGAAACACGTTGGCAAAAAATCAAAAAGGTGAAGGCCCCGGTTTTTTGAATCAATTAGAACCAAGTGAAGGATGACTTCAAAGTCATTGACTGGACCGAAACTTGACACTTTGAGGGAAGGCTGCACAAGGGTGTCGCCTGTTACAGCGTCATATTTGCATTCATGTGCGTTCATCCAAAATCGTTCATACGGTAGTACTATTGACTCAGACGATAGATGATGACAGCTCTGATATCTTTGAAGTGCGTGACCATGATTCAGACGAGGTTACTGTACATGCATTGAAGTCATTCGTTCTGAATGAGGCAACTTGTTGTTTGCTTTTAAACTGAATGATAGACACTCATGAAGGCTCCATGTGTCAGACCTGTCAGCTACGCGTCAGCTCACCCGAAAACATCTCCTTTCTCCTCATCTGTGTCACAATCAGAACGGTTTGGTGCCCTGTTGGGCTCATCGTTGTCGTCGTCGGCACAATAGTTCTCGAGGCAGCTCATGCCACGCGTCAGCAGGGAACTCAATGTCCCTTGGTCATTGCTCTTAGGCTTGATCGGAATGTCTGGCGCAGCCTCACAGGTCATGACGGTCTGTCTGGGGTTGAGTAGGGTGAGGTTGGGCAGGCGGTTCTTGATTTTTCCAAAAATGTTTACACGCAAGCACTGCACATGTCTTCGCGAAGGGTCTTACATGATCTCGCGCAGCACTATGCAATATAAAACAAGTTCTTTACATACATCCATACCATACCATACCAAACAAACCAAACCATACCATACCATACGGCACCATACATTACATACATTACATACACTACATACATTACATACATTAGATGCAATACATACATTACATACATTACATACATTACATGCATCACATACATTACATACACTACATACATTGCATACATTACGTACATTACATTTTATAAATGGATTACACACATTGCATACATACCATACACACCATACATACCATACATACCATACATACTGAACATACCAGACATAACATACATACCATACATACCATGCATGCCATACATACCAAACATACCATACATACCATACATACCATACATACCATACATACCATACATACCGAACATACCATACATAGCAAATATACCATACATACCATACATACCATACCTACCAAACATACCATATATACCATACATACCATACATACCGGACACACCATACATACCATACATACCACACACCCATACATACATTACATTACGTTACGTTACGTTGCATTACATTACATTACATTAGATTACGTTGCATACACTACATTACATTACGTTACATTGCATTGCATTACATTACGAAACAATACAAAACAAAACAAAAAAATACAATAAATTACGTACATTACATTACATTACATTACACCACACTGCATCACATTACATTACATTACATGGCATTACATTTCATTCCAGTACATTACATGACATGACATTACCTTACATACATACATGCACTACATACATTGCATGCATTACATGCATGACAAAAAGACAGACAAACATACAGACTTACAGACATACAGACATACACACAGACAAACAGACATACAGACATACAAACAGAAATGCGAACATACCTTACCATACAAAACAAACATACTTTACATTACATTACAGTACGATAAATACATTACATACATTACATACGTTACACATATGCAATAAATGCATGCATGCAAACAAAACATACATACATACTTACATGCATGCATGTATGCATACACACATACAAACATACAAACAATAATTACATTACATTACAAGAATTTACATTACATCACCTTGACGTACCGTACCGCGCCAAACCATACCATACCATACATACCATACATTACATACAGTAAATACAATACATACATATACATACATTACAAACACTACATACATTCATGCATACATACACAACTACATACATACAAACAAAAGTACATACATACATACATGCATGCATGCATACAGACAAACATACATACATACAAACAAACATACATACATTACATACGTTAGATGCATTACATACAAAACATACATTACATACATTACATACGTTACATACAGATCTACAGACATACAAAAATACTTTACGTACATTGCATACAATGCATACATTACATACATTGCATACAATGCATACATTACATACATTAGATACATTACATACAGTACATACATACACACATATACACATACAAACATACAGACATACATACATACATACGTACACACATACATACATACATACCTACCTACATACATACATGACATACATACATACATACCTACCTACCTACATACATACATTACGCACATACATACATACATACATACATACATACATACATACATACATACATACATACATACATACATACATACATACATGCACACACACACACATACACACACATACATACATACCTACCTACCTACCTACCTACATACATACATACATTACACACATACATTACATACACTCCATGCATTACATACATTACATTACATACATTACATGCATTACATACACACAAGCAGACATACATTGCATACAATGCATACATTACATACATTGGATAAATTAGATACAGTACATACATACCTACATACAAAGATTCATTCGTACATTTATACATTCGTACATTCATACGGTCATACAGGTACATACATATACATGCATGCAAACACATGCATACACAAATGCATACGCATATACGTGCATACACACATACATGCATGCATACATACATACATGCATGCATACATACATGCATGCATAATCATGCATACATACATAACATACAAACCA